AGTGAATAAATTCCAATCCTTGCATTCTTATTCCAGGGTCTGCTCGCGTGTCCTTGTTGTTCCATTTCATATTATATGAAATCGTCTCTTCTTCTTTAGAGGGAGAGAATACTTATCACACTAGCGGTCTTTTATAATATAAAAATCACAAATCAAACGGCTGCATTCTATTATTGAGATTTATGGGACAGAGTTTGAAATTATAATTTGCGAGGAATTTTAATCAGAATAATTATATATAGTTTTGTGGCGCGCATAATTATTCCATTAAAAATCATTAGTTAGAATTTTTAGGTAATTTTTATTTGGTAGAATTCTCAAAAACGCCGAAATTTTATTTGTCCGAAATTGCAAATGACTGAACAATCGATTTCGGCGCGGTATTTCAAAAATTCACCAATCAATAAAATTGACAAGAAAATTGTGATTGGTGAATTTTAAAAATCGCGTCGAAATCGTTTGTTCGATTTGCAATTTCGGACAAATAAAATTTCGGCGTAAGAATTCTGCTAAATAAAAATTTGCTATCTAAAAATTTTCTTATGTAAAAATTAGTTTAAAAAGAAATTTCTCTCTAATTTTGATGTAAAAAATGAAAATTCGGCTAAAAGAATAATTAATCTAATAAAATTTTTTAAAATGAAAATTTTAATCATTTTTATGGGCCAATATCATACGCCTCATTAATTTTGTTGTTTTAAGGATGGTATTATATATATAGGTAATTTTTGTATGAGAAGAGTTTAGAAATTTTTAAATGTCTCAATTGAAAATCCGTAAGGAAGAAATAAAGGAAAGTAAAGCAGGAGATTAATTATTGGTTACACTTAGTGTTACAAGAAAATTACACAGTGGAAATACAGAGTGTCATAAATTGTCTAACATTCCCGCCTCTGTTATATAGACTCAATAGAAGTCTACGAACTGTATCGTGTATGTGGATTTTGATCTGGAACTAAAATTCATATTCAAATGAGTATAATGAAAAGTGGGCTTGTATGTATATGCAATTTATTAGATCGGGTTTTTGACATATATATGATTCAACCTATAAGGAAATTTTTATCAATAAAGCTACTGAAAACAATACTAGATAATTATGTTTCTAAGCAGATAAGCATAACCAGTATTGAAATTTTCATATTAAATTTAAAACAATTTTATTAAATTTATCATTAAATTTAATGTTAACTAATTAGATTCAATTAAAAAGTAATTTCTAAATGTATATTAAATTTCAATACTGGTTAATTCATATTTGCTTCGTTAAAATATTAAAAATTACAGATTTTTCTAACATAAATTTTGAACAATTTATTTTGGACCCAAGGCCAAAGTAAAAAGTTTTAGATAGTAATAAATCATATAATTTTGCGTCTGAAAAAAATTTGATTTCCAATCGTTGATCATATTATCGACTTTCATATTTCTTACAATTAGGGTTTTAAAAATTGTATTTAGCAAATACTAAAAGGACATTTTAAAAGTCTAATCATCGTAATGTTTTCTAATGAAACGACCTATATGATCTTTCGATTTCCTTTCCTCAAATATATATTCTGCATTCTATATATAATTGACGAATAATGTAATTATTGTAATATATTTTCATGTAATATTATGTGATATAGTAAAGTAGAAGTAGAAGAAGAAGAAGAAGAAGAAGAACTTTCCATGTGATAATCATAAGGTATGGTTTATGATTTTTATTTCTGGATGAACTCATCCGAGGCATAATATCTGCGCATAGGGTCAGCTATAGTTCTGTATGTGTATATATATGTATAGTTTAGTAGTGGGCACTATAATGCTTCGCGTTACGAACTTGTTCTTTCCCCTTCTCCATTGGAACTTATAAGGCCCCTTGTAGTACTTCGACACAGCCGTTATATAGTTAGTCTTAGAGAAGAAAAATTCTTAGACAACTCGAATATATATATATATATATATATATTTATACCTGTTTATAATGTCCCTTTAGCATTTCGTTTATTTCTTATTATTTCCATTGAAAATAGATAAAGATAAAGTTTTTAGATGATTTTGAAATTTATACACTAAAGCAAAAAAGTTTGAGTTGACAAAACAATTTTGGTTAATACCAATAAGCATTTTTGTTGCGTTGACAAATTTTCAGTTGTTTCAAAGTTTGGTTGTTTCGACTAAACTTTGGGATAATTGCAAATGGTTGACGTAACCAAATAAGAAAAATAAAGGAATTTTGTTGTAACCAAAGTTTGTACCAACTATATTTTGAGTGGAACAACCTAAACTGTTGAAACAAGAAAATTTGGTTACGACGCTCCACGACAAAAAGGATCTTAGAGGCAAAAATTTTTAGATGTTTGCGATTTTTGGTTTTGTAAATACACAAAAAGGATCAATTAATACAAACCACTGATATTTATATGACTTTATTAGATCGAAAATATTTAGTATGATTTTGATTTTACATAATTAAAAATGAACCGAGCTAAAACTATCACTAAACATAATCTAAATTTTTTGCCTTCAATGTTTTCTCGTAGAGAATTTTACATATTAGACGGAGAAAAATAAATTCTACCTCATAAACCTGTGAAACTAATAAATTTTGTTTGATCGTTACAACAAATCTATATTGTAGTAACAAATTCTTTTGTAATTCTAACAATTTTGGTATAACAATACAAATTTGTTGTAAGAAACAATAAAAATTTTGTTATAACAACTAAAAATTTATTGTAGTAACAAATCTGTATTGTTAGTGCAATACAGATTTGTTGTAGCGATCAAACAAAAATTTGTTAGTTACAGATTCAGTAAGTATATATAATATACAATTCAGTTTTCTCCGTGTAACCAAAATGTTTCGTTAACTTTAATTTTTTTTCTTCTCATTACGTCTAATCAAACAGAATTTCTGCCAAAGGCATAAAAATTATTGATTTAAAAGCATATGCTACAGAATCTATACAATATTTTACAAATTCTATAGCATATGCTTCAAAATCATGATGCTGAAGTCCGCAACGTTTTTATAAACGAAAACGAAAAAATAATTAGACAATATCTATTACTTTGGGTTAAAATTAAAGTTATTCGGGGGTAACTGGTTTTTATAAAAGTATTAATTTCTTGAAAATTTGTGCAAATCAAAATTAGAGATAAATTGACATGAAAAAATAATTCTATTTTAATTTTTCGTTTTTGAAAACGTTGCGGACTTGAGCATCATTCAAAATCAATGATTTTTATGCCTTTAACAGAAATTGCTGTTTACAAATTTTTATTCCTTTGGCAGAAATTCTGTTTGTTTTAGCATTTCTGCTAAAGGCATAAAAATTATTGATTCTGAAGCACATGCTATAGAATCTGTACAATAAATTCTATAGCATATGCTTCAGAATCAATGATTTTTATGCCTTTAGCAGAAATGTTAAAACAAAAAGAATTTCTGCCAAAGGCATAAAACTTATTGATTCAAAAGCATATGCTACAGAATCTGTACAATAAATTCTATAGCATATTGCTTCAGAATCAATGATTTTTATGCCTTTAGCAGAAATTCTAAAACAAACAGAATTTCTGCCAAAGGAATAAAAATTTGTAAACAGCATTTCTGCTAAAGGCATAAAAATCATTGATTTTGAAGCATATGCTATAGAATTTTTAAAATATTGTAGAGATTCTGTAGCATATGTTTTTGAATCAATAATTTTTATGCTTTTGTCAAAAATTCTGTTTGTTTTAGCATTTCTGCTAAAGACATAAAAATCATTGATTTTAAATCATATGCTACAGAATTTGTAAAAAGCATTTCTGCTAAAGGTATAAAAATCATTTGATTCAATAGCATATTTTTCTCATAGGTCAAAAAAATTAAACAACGGATTATTATTATTATTATTGAATATTTGCATGTAAACTTTAATTCTTTTTAAGAATTTAAAAATTCTTTATATGTTGTGGCGTCGGTGTATAAATTTTTGAAAAGTTCTGCATTTTCTATAAAAAATTAATAAAAATGCAGAAATGATAAATATTTTCCGTATATAGAGTTGTAATTTCAGGACCTATATGGAGCTTGGGAATTCCAGAAGAGAAATTGAGAATGCAGAACTCTGCAGCTCTCAGGTGTTGCTGAATAAGTATCTGGCTATTGCCAAGAGAGAAGCCTTATCCTTCGTGCGTGATTGGCGCGAAAGAATCTGCGTAAAATCCGCGTGTGCTGCGCCGTATGAGTGAGAAAGAAATACATTGCCAAGGGAAAGGGCTTTTAAGGGCGAAGTGGTGGGAGGAGGGAGGATTGCAAGTGCGTGAGTTCGTTGAGGTTAAAGACTCTAGGGGCGCATAACAATCTCATTGGATGCTGTTTTCAAATTTGTCAATTAGAAAAGGAGAAAAAAATTATATAATCATATATTTTTTTTTTGGAAATTAAAAAAAAATTTCAATTACATTTTTAAAGTTTAAAAAAAAAATGTATTTTTAGTATTTATCTAATGTAAGCGCAGATTTGTAATTAAATTATCATAATAATCTTCTTATATTGTTGTCAAAATCCGATTTAATTTTTATTTCTTCTATTATGTATCAAATTTTCTTTTTTAATTTTCTGAAACGCAATTACAAAATCTTCTCAAATGATTATTTATATAATTCTCGTTTAATATATAGTTGAATAAATTATTTTCCTATCCTTGGCATTAGGGATATGTATTAATTACGACATTCGATAAATGATGCAACATGATACTAATTCTTGAGAACTATAAAAATAATTATGATAGTCAAAAAATAATTTTTTTAATTTCATATAAAAAATTTATATTTAAAAAATGTAGTAAAAAAATAAAAGAATAATAAATCAGATCTTAAGTGTCTGCTAATTATGGAGAATAAATTTAAATTAACTATATATGGCAATGTTATAATAGGCAGTGAAATTTCTATATTAAATAATAAAATTAAGTAGTTTTTTTGAAAATAAAATTTTAATTTTTATATTTATGTTACAGTTCAAGGTCGTAAGGTGATATAATTGGCGTATAGAATATGTGAGTAAATTATTATTTTTATAAAAATTGTTTAGAATTTAAAAATATTTTCTTTGCGAGTGATTTAAAATAAAATTTATTTTAATTAAAGAAATTTGATATTTTTTTCGGTAAGAGAAGATTTCGTTTTTTTTTTTTTTTTAAAGAAGTAAATGAAAATAAAAAAAAGAATCGGGGCCTTGAAGGGCCTTAGGCGACGATAAATATATATATAATGCATATATATATATATAGGATTAGTGGAACAGATTATTTAAAAAGTAGGACAAGATTAAAGGACTTGAGACGAGATTCGCAGTAATCCCCTTCCCTTTTTTTTTTCTTATTTTTTTTCTATACAGTAAATCATTCGAAAATTCTGCATAGTATAAAATTTGCATATTTATTAAGTGAAGCCTGCGCGATTCTAAATTTAAATTTAAGCATTCAATGCAAAATTTATTAGGTTTTGTATATATATAGTTTAGTCTTTCAAGTTTTGTTTCACTTTGTTGTTTATTTATATACATATATATTTTTTTTTATCGACAACTTCCTTTTAAATTTACATTTTTACTCTACCCGCAAATTGTTTCCTTCCTTTAAAATTATTTATACAGTACTACTTTCAAAAATAGAAATTACTTTCCAAACTGGACATTACTTTCTTAATTTATTTGTGCTACTAATTGTTTACTAATAATAATAATTAATTCGGTAATTAATAAATAATATTTATTTATAATAATATTAATAACTAATATTTATTAATATTAAAATTTAATATTAAAAATATTATTACTTAATTAATAATAATTATTACTAATATTAATTATATTTAATTATGTATAATTACAATATATTTCAAATTATTATTAATTAATTAGAAAATTATTATTGAGAAATTAAATATAAATTACTAATAATTGTTATTGAATTACAATTGTTAGTAAATACATATAATATTTTCTTACCGAATTTCTATTTATTTTGAAAACAATTTGTAGTATCAATTATTTTTGCTTTTAATTAATGTTTAATTAATTAATTAAAAAAAAAAGAATTAATTGACCACTAATTTTTTTTTCCCCCGTTATGTGCGACAATTTATTCAAAGAAAAATGTCAATTAAAATTACTGAAATATTTTATAGAGAAAAGTTGGATAATTATTTTTGATAATTTATTTCATTTATATAATTTTTTTTTATTGATTATTAGTTAATATCTAATTTAATATAGTTGCATCAATTATTATATATTATGGAGATGTGTATACATATATATATAATAGCAATAAGTAATGGAACATTTAACGAGATAATTAATTATAGAAAACGCGCATGGTAGTCTATTTCTTTTCGTTATTAAATTGCTTTTCGCGTAATTCAGTGCATTAGAAAATATATAACATAATTTAATATTTCAGAATTATAATAAAAAAAATGTGTATTTTATTGATGCGAAAAAGTGTAATACAAAAATAAAAGAATAACTATTTTCATGTAAAATAAAAGGTAACCTTTGAAAATAAATGTCATTATTATCGCAGTGATAGATAAATAAAAATTTATCTTTTTTTTTTAATAAAAACAATTTTTTATTTATAAAATAATTTAAAATGAATTCTATTTTTGTAGAATCAGTAATTGTGACATTTTATATAAGAAATTTTTTTTTTATTATTATCCTTATTTTCAATAAGGTTAAAATTTCTAGATAAAATTTCTAAAAAAAAAAAAAAAATTTCCATATTTCAAAAAAATTTCTGACGCTTTGAGTATATAACCTCCGTATGGAAAGTTAACAAAAAAAAAAAAAAAAAATCTTACCGGGTGTCGTGGTCCATGTGTTCGCGTCCGTGGCACAGAAAACCGCGCCTAGGAAGCAAACAGCCACCACTGCGTTCAAAAACCATCTTTCCTGAATCCTCATGATCCTACCGCATTATTCTCATGCACAAACACCACCTCAGCACTTGGCCGTTGTTGTGTCGTCGCACTCACCACAGGTCATAAAGTTCACTTTGAATAAAGACACACACACACTCGCCTTCTTCTCGCGACCAGCGCGAATAATCGCGCCTAGTCGTGCGTTCGTTTTGTTACCCTAGCAACACTTCTGATGATTACTTCGGACTGTTTTCTTTACGTTTGATTTTAAAAAATAATTTTTTTTCAAATGGAGAAAACAGCCCTTACACAAAACACAATTTATCACTAAAAGAAAAAACAAAAATTGAAATAATGGAGAAAGTATGCGTTCCTGAAGGTTTGAAATAGGGGAGAGTTTCCGAATGCGGACCGTGCCGAGGCCCGAGGTAAAATGCGCCAGTGAGCGGGATTCTACCTTCTTGGCTGCTGTTGTTATTGCTGCTGGTTTGCTGGTTGCTGCTGTTGCTGCCTTTCATTCCTCCTCTCCTTCGACGGTCGAACCGGGCCCAGGGAATTCTCTCTCTCTCTCTAGGTATATACAACTCACCTTGCTGGGGCAGACTCCGCATCTACTGGGTGGTTAGAATGGACCTTACCTGCGAGAACTGCTCAGACCTTTCATGTATTTATGTATTGGTATACATAGACATAAGAAATCCTGGGAAGAGCTTCATAACTTTGTGGGTGGAACCACATATATATATATATAATTATATGCGAACATCAAATGTTGAATGCCGCATGATTTTTCACCTGCGATGGGAAAAACGATCTGTCTCTCTCTCTCAGAAGGTTTCATTCATTCCTAAATTTGCCTTTTTGTGTTATTCAATTTACGGAATACTATATTGGAATTTGCAAGCATTTTCTCTTTCTAAATCTGAATTAGTAAAAATGTTTACTAATTTGAATTAGTGACTCACTTTTTGTTTCTGAATTAGTGGAATTTTACTTAATTATCAGTTAAAATTTCATTGTATTACTACAATGAAAAAATTATATTCTAGATTTAAGAATTTCTTCTTAAATAGGAGCCAAGAATATTCGTAAGTTGGAAATATTCTTACAATAAGTATAATATATTCTTGGCGTCAAAAGAAGAAATTCTTAAATCTAGAATATAATTTTTTCATTCTAATAATTAGTAAAATTCAACTACTAATTCTAGAGCAAAAAGTGAGTCACTAATTTAAATATAGTAAACATTTTTACTAATTCAAATTTAAATAACGAAAGTTTTGGATTAAATTTCAAATAGTTATAATAAATATTATTTCGAGAAACTCCGTTCCGAACCAAGTTTTTATCCCAACTCAACAAAAAAAAAATACATTCCCGATCATTACAAATTAATCCGTTTCATTTTGAACCTGAATTCTAATTTTTTTCTTTTTCGTTATCAATTCGTTTTATTCTGTAACTAAATTTTAATCCCTTTGAATCCTATTTCATTCGGAATCAATCCTATTGGCTTGAAAACGAGTCGTTTCGGATTTATTCGAAATATTTCATAATTTAAATTAAAGCTTTTGATTGATTCGAAAAGAAATTATTCAGGATTCAAAAGGATTAAAATTTAGTTGCAGAATAAAACGAATTGATTCGGAATTATACGGAAAGAATTTTTTTTTTTTTGTTGAATTATGAAGAATTTTTTAATTTGGATAAAAACCGATTGACTGGCTATTCATGATATATACTTTCATTGGATTTCAAAATTATAAAAAAAAATTAATACTGGAAAAATTTTGGTACAGCAGCTGCCTCAAATGAGAAAGCAATTTTTTCATACTAGATAATGAATAATTTTGAAAAATACATATATAAGGTTATTGAAGAAGAAATTAGTTGAGTGTGATTAGTTTCGTTTTGGATTTAGTGGCTGAAAGCAAGTGTTTCATACTAGATAATGAATAATTTAGGAAAATACAATGAAGAAATTCGTTGATTAGTGTCGTTTTGGATTTAGTGGCTGAAAGCAAGTGTTTCATACTAGATAATGAATAATCAGTAATCAAAGGGACGTGAAAGGGAGATCCCAAGGACCTTCACCTACGAAGTTTAAAGCTTGACGACAATTCCGTATATATATATAGTATACACGGGAAAAAAATCTTTATCTATAACAGCTATATATGTTTATCTAAAATAGGGAAAACTTTCTCTGTTTTTGTGAAACATATATAGCTGTTTCAGTGAAACTTATCGCTGTTCCAAGTAAATATTTTTTTCCCGTATAATATTTTTTTTAATTTTCGGAGTAAATTTTACTATTTCTGGAGTAAAAATTGACAGAAATGCACAAAAACTGCAGATAGTTCAGATTTTACTTTAAAAATAGTAAAAGTTACTTTATTCCTTTTTCTCCTTGGAGTTAAATAATAACGTATATATGTCTCAGAGCCTACCAACTTATTTATTTGGCGTAAATAAAAATTTTATTTGTCATAAATAAATTTTTTTGGCTCAATTAAATTTTTTTATTGAAATAAAATAAAATATATTTGCAACAAATAAATCAGTTATAGTAGGCTCGGAGACAAATATACCTTTTCTCTATGAGTGTAAGTAACTTTTTATTTGTTTTTTTTTAAATAAAAAAATTTATTTAGTACAAATAAAATTTTACTTAGCTAAATAAAATTTTTATTTAACTCAAATAAAAAATTTATTTGAAATAAATAAATATTTATTTTGTTCTGAGACAAAATATATATTTTCTCTAGGTGCAATATAGTGATAAAATATGCAGAAATTATAGATTACACCATGATCTCTATACTCTTTTTTTTTCTCGTTATGTATGGAAATTCAGATTCTTTTAAGCATACGTCACTTTTGTATATACATATATATTTATACTTGTCGTACAAAGCAGGTATATCAAAGAAAAACTATATTCATATATATTGTACACCCTATGTTATATTGATTTAATGAAAATATGTGATGTTTATTTATGGATTTATTGATTCAGTATATATGTGCGGAAAGAGGGTTACATAGTTTGTCTAATCAATTTTATACACGACACATTTTGTATATAGTGTTTTAAAGAGAAAAGATAATATTTATATATGTTTTTGTGGCGCGGGGGAAAATCAATAAATTCCATTTAAATAATAGCGTAATCAAAAAGACATTTCTATTTATAGCATTGTATTATATACTTCTAACTTATATATTAAATTTTTACATATTTCTATATGTATATTGATTAAATAATTTGTCAATTGTTGTAGGACTATATATAATGCGCATAATCATTCAAAATTTGTTTCCAAATATAAATTTCGTGTCCCAGTTAAATAAGTAGTAAGCATTATTTATTATTTTGACACAATAGGTGTGCGACGAATATAATAAGTTCATTTTTTTTTCATTCGACATTTGTATATAATATTTATACATATATATATGTATATGGATTTCTTATTTTTTAAATTTTATAAAATAAATAAATATTTATTTATATCAAATTAATTTAATTTGGTTTAAATTAAATTTTTTTTGCTAAATAAAATTTTATTTCCACTGAAATAAATTTTGTGTTAAATTAAATTTTTTATTTCAATCAAACAGAAAGTCAGACTCACTGAGAAAAGACAAAAATATATTTTTATTCGATTCAAATAAATTTTTATTTGTCTCAAATAAACGGAAATAAAAGATTTTTCTGATTGTAATATAGCGTTAGCCTCGGCGTTAGCGTAGGTTTTTTTTCCCTCTTTTTTTTTTTTGACAAGTACCTATTTCATTAATAAAATTTATCTTTTGAATAACAAATTTCTTGAATGAAATTTCTGATGACTCATTTATAAAGGAGCCGCACACATATGTTTATATTTATATACTTATAATATATAGGAAAATAGAATCATCTTTGCTTTCATATAAAAACCGAATAAAAAAAAAGTACTACCAGAAAAAAACAAAGATAACGAATGCTTTCACTTAACTTTTTTTTTTTTTCCTATTGTGCGTTTCAGCTCCTCCTTTTATAAAGAGTCATACCTATTATTAGCAGTTACATAATTGAAAAGTGTAATGAACTTTTATAATGCAACACTAATATAATCTTTAATTATATTTCAACAATATAATATGATTTCTCCAATTATCCTTTTGTTGTACGCGAAAAATTTTTTCAAAATATTTCTTATCAATATTATAAAATATTATAAAATATTATTATTATATTATAAAATATTATAAAATATTATTATTATATTATAATAATAATAATAACAATTGTTTTTTTGTTTAAAAAAAAATTATTATTATTACAATCTCAGAAAGCAAAATTTAATTTCCTGCTAAAAATTTAATCAATAAAATAACGTAATAATCTTTTTTGGTAAAAATAAAAATTTCCCATTAATAATTATATGAGCCTTAAAATTCCATGAGTAAAGTTATAACCGAACCGGATGGTCCAGAATGACATCATCTTGGAACAGCAATGAAATTCCAAGATGAAATACGTTTAAGTGTCGAAAGACGAGAATTAGTGGGTTTACCTGGAATCTTTGAGGGTTTTTAGGAAGCTGTAGAAAATAGTTTTGGCCCTTTTTTTACACGCCCCATGAAAAAAAAGAAGAATTTAAAGAAGGGTTTTTTTTTTTTTTTTTTACTGTTATTGTCAAAGATACTTATCCTTCTTATTGTTAACATATCATGAATCATCGCATATTATAGATATTGTAAATTATATTACATATCTTGACTTTTCTTTGTAGATCTTGAAAAAAAAATTAGGAAGTTAAAAAATTAGTTCTCATCGTTTTTCGAATCTTAAAAGTCAGAAAAAATTAATTATAAAATATTTTTTGATATTAAATATATATATATATAATAATAACGAGAAAAGAAAGAAAGAAAGTCGAGTCATGTTAAATAATTCAAATAAATATATATAAATGTTGTGCGGGTACTTATTATATTATATTTAATATAACAAAAATATTATAGTGGCGAAAAAATAAAATTTCATTATTTAAGATTTTTTAAATAATGGAATTTTAGTTTAACTAAATTTTTTTTTTCCTATTTGGAGTTAAAATTTTTTCGCATTTTGTTAGCGTTTCCATAGTAACCGTTTCTATGATAACTGTTACCATAGCAACCATTTTCATGATAACCGTTTCCATAGTAACCGTTACATTAAAATTTTTTTTTTGTTTATTATTTTGAACATTGAAAATTTTTGTTTTTTTCACTTTGTTGTTTTATTTATCAATTTTTTTTATAAAAAAGCAATTAAAGAAAAATTAAAAATAATGAAAATAAAAGTAAAAATAGAATGTAAAAATTTGTTTATGTTGTTAATGTAAAATTTATGTTTTATTCAATCTAATATTTTTTTTTTTTCGAAAAATTTTGCGTAGTTTTGATACCGCGACTCTATTTTGTTAAACTAAAATTTAAATCAAAATCCATTTTTTATGATTCCTAATTAAAAAAAAAAAAAAATATTTGAGAGTTTTGCAATTACTTTTTTTAAGGGATAAAAAAAAACATGTCCTTGATACCAAAAGATACCTGTATATAGGTGCACCTTTGCACCTGTCGGGGGATTCCTTTCAAAATTTCACTAGACCCATAACGATCTATCGTTATGCCCAGATGGGTTTCTATACACCGATTTGTGAAACCTCAAGAAGGATGCTCCAAAAAAAGGAGAGAGAGAGAGAGAGAGAAAAAAAAAAAGAGACAGAGCAAGGAGAATCCTTTGAAAAAAAAAAATAATTTTTAAATCCTTGAAATTTTTTTCGTCATACAAATTAATATAAATTGATCCGAAAAATTGATTATTTTGAATGTAATACATAATAATAGAATATGGAAACTTTTTTTTGGAAAACGGAAAAAGAAAAATATTTTAGGAAAATATTTCGCAAGAATTTTTTCAAATGAAAAAAAATAGTTTCCTTTTTTTCACTTATAATTGTCAATTAGTTTTGCTGTACATATTTTTGAAGAGAAGCACCCGGTATAAAACCCCTGGGTGACCGTCCTTGTCTAAGTTTGACTCCAAGAAATCTTTAAGGAGAAAAGCGAGAGGATCAGCTAAGTCTCTCTATACTCGTTCGTATATATATATATAATATATCAGCGACTTTTTTTTCTTTTTGCATTTCTCTATCTGGTACATTTCCATCTAGTTTTGTCATTAAATTTTTTTTTCTTCCTGTCGCACTTATACTTTCCACTTATATATGTGTTGTATAATATAGAAGAATTAGAAAACTCATTAATTGACTTTATTTACACCCAGAGAAATTATATATATATATATATGTCTCCAGAGTGAAATAAATATTTATTTGTTTTAAAAAAATTTTATTTGATTTAAATAAAAATTTTGGGGCGTGTGATTATCCCATAAAAATCATCAAGAATTTTCATTTTCAACAATTTTTATTAGATATAGTTATTTTTTAGAAGAATTTTCATTTTTCGAATAAACATTCTTGTCAGAATTTCTTTTTTTAAAGAATTTTTATTTGTCCGAAATTGTAAATGACCGAACAAACAATCGACAGAAAAAATTTCGTCGTGATTTTTAAAATCGACTAATCACGATATTTTCGTAACATAACTTTATGATTGGTGAATTTTAAACATCGCGCCGAAATCATTCTGTCAATTGTTTATTCGACCATTTGCAATTTCGGACAAATAAAAATTTGGCGTTTTCAGAAAATTTGGAAAATGCTAATATATGAAGAATTACCGACCTAGAAATCTACCTTACCGACTGATGATAAACTGATAAAGTTTTTTTTTTTGAAAATGCTAAATGTAATGAATTACCGACTTAGAAATCTACCTTACCGACTGAGGGTAAAGTAATTTTTTTTTTTGGAAAATGCTCCTATATATATATATATTTAAAAAATAAATTTTTATTTCAATTAAATTAAATGATTTTGGATATGAGAATTTTATTTTGATTGGCATTTATAGAAATAGCTATTAGTCATGTATTGGTATTTTCCGTTAGACTTGTTAGGGAATTTAAACGCCACTTGCATTACAATGACTTTTGAAAGTCTTTTGCGACAATATAATACGTCCACCTCTTCTTTAAATTCACATCAATACCCTCTAAACGTAACTAGTATTTATTATTTTTTTTTTTTTGTTTTTAATAGTTTACACTTTTTTTTTTTTAAGGGGCGATTGGAATAAATTGTTCGTGATGAATAAATAGCAAGAGACAAAGGAAAAAAAAAAATAAAATAGTGAAAAATAATTTTTAAAACCAAAATTTTAAATTACTAAACTAAAATTTTTCATTAATGAAAAATTGTATTTTTTTTTTATTGAATTTCATAATTTCCTACTTTCTAAATTAACGCAGGCGTTTAAAAATAGAATAAATATAAATAAATTAATTTACAAATTTCTTTGAAAATCTCATTTGGATGAAGTTTTGGATATATATATAGAGGTAAAGTGAATACACATGGTGAAAGTGTGTCGAAGATCCGCATAATACGCAAGTATATAATATGTGCTTAAATATTATACAGACAGACGTGTAACAATTTTTTTTTTTCTTAAATATGCAATGAATAATCTTCTCGTTTGGAATGGATCTAATTTGAAAATTTCAAACAAAAGTCTCAATTTTGCAATAATAAATATTTTAGAAAATTTTTTGAGTGGGAGTACAATTGATCATTGTATATAGATATATATATATATGTATGTATACAGAATTTCATAAGTGAAATCAATGATTCGAAAGCAGTTTACTGTTATATTCTTATAAAATTAATTAAATTATATTTTCATTATTATTCTTCTTCATGTGTTGAAAAAATTGAAAAATGATTAAATTTATAAGATTCTGCAATAATGTATTATAATTACAAAATAGGTATCGATAAATTATAAATTGGATGTTATAAACCCTCGTCAAAAAATTGTCAAACTTCACAACTGGCGCAGTACCGGTACAAGTGCCATGCCATTGCTCCGCCAGTAGTCAATTTTCGATAGAAAAATAATTAATCTTGTATAATTACTATAAAAAGGAAAAAAATTCTATTTTAAAAATTTTATCAATCCAAATTAGCAAAAACTGGTTTTCATATTACATGCGTGAATGACGGGTTGCTTCCCACCAGGCGAAAAAAGGGAAGAACAATTTAAAGCTGATTTTGTTTATAAAAAAAAAAACAAATTATATTATTAGAAACTCGAACAAATTATTATTTTTCTATCATTATTATTATTATTATTATTATTATAATTTTTATTATTATTATTATTATTATTATTATTATTATTATTATTATTATAATTTTTATTATTATTATTACTATCTAGGTTTGTGGAAATTGAAAATAAATACAATTTTTTTTATTATACATAAAATAAATTTATTGAGAAAATTGTTATTAAGGATCAATTGCAATATCGGAACAAGTTCGAAATGTTTCTTGACTACCGCAACCCAATGCACCTTTGCCATTTTTACAAATTCCCCAATTATTTCCGGCTCTATAATGCCATCGTAAAACACAATGTTCACAGGTGAGATTTTTTGGTAGATATGCTTTTATTTTGATTAATCCAACTAATCCCACAGGCACCATATATCTATCTTTGTTGTTCATTAAAATTATTGGATATTTTTTAAAGCATGCCTCAGTCTCAATGTCTTTTGTATTTTTCAATGGACAAATTGCAAATTGAAAATATCCAATATGATTGGCAGTGATTCGAACAATTAATTCAATTTTATCTCCTGCTTGGTATCTGAAATGATTCAAAAAAAAAAAAAAAAAAAAAAAAAAAAAAATTTAATTTCATATTTTATACAATTAAAATAATTTGCGATTTTTATATTTATTATTATTTTTTTTTATTTATAATTATTTATTTTCATTTCTTCAACATTTTATTAATAATTCTTTATTTAAAAAATGATTTTTCGTTAATTATGTCCTAATAGCTCAGTGGTTAAAGTGCTCCACTGGTAAAATATATTGTGTGCGGGGTTCGATTCCCATCTGGGAAGGAATATTTTTTCAGTAATACACAAATGAAAATATCTATTTTATAATTTTATTATGAAAATAAATTTTTTAGTTAATTGATTTATTATCAAATAAATATTTATTTGTACAATTTAATAATTATTATTTGAGTCAATTAAATAGTAATACCTATTTGTTTTAAATACAGAAATTATTAATTTAAATATAATTAATTTAATTTGTATAAAAATTATTTGATTCAAGTAAATATTTATTTGATAATATTCAAAATTATTTGAATAAAATATATTTGTCCCTTTATAAATTTGAAATAAATATTATTAATGGGTCAGAATTCGTGAAATCAGCACAGAAAATAAAAAATATTTTTTTTTAAATCGAAAGTTATTCAAATAAATTTTTCTTTGATCCTATATCAATGTTAGAATTTTTTCGATTTAATGCACAAATTTCTTTCATTCAAAGAAAATTTGTTTGAATCAAAGAAATTTTGTTTGAATGAAAGAAGCTTTTTTTTTGTTTCAAAGAAAATTTTATTTTCAATGAAAGAAAACAAGTCAAAGAAACTAGTTTCTTTAAATCATAGAAATCTTTTCTCTGGGTGTAATGCTTGTAATCTTCCTAATATCGAAAAGCGTACAACAAAACAACAGCAGTATTTTGTTGTTTTTTTTTTAATTTTTAGTCTGCATGAAACGCAAATAATAATAATACAAATTTTTTTGCATCCAAGATAATTTCTTTGAAACAAATAAATTTTCTTTATATCAAAGAAAAATTTGTCAAAGAAACTGATTTCATTGAATCAAAGAACTCTTTTTTCTCGGTGTAGGAGATGGTTTTTTTTATATTTAATTTTTTTTAATTTACTATAGAATGAAGAATAATAAAACGAAAAATCGGAAAATAAAATCTGGATGCGCTGATAAGTAAGTAAATAATTATATTTTTTTTTTCGCTTGGTAGAAACATTTCTGTGGTCTAATAGAACTGTTTTTTCTATATTTCGATTTAAATAAAAATATTTTTTCTTTTCTGTGCTGATTTCACGAATTCTGACCCTAATATAAATATTATAAATAAATAATTTAATTGATTTCATTTTAAATGAATATTTTTGGAAAAATTTTCTCAGTCATGACTAAAGAGATATAAAGTTGTTAATTTTCGCACCATATAGTGCTGTACAAATTGAATTCAAAAGTGTTCTAGTTTCGTTTAAATTGTGACATTTTACTTATCGCAAGTTTATGTTAATTAAATGTATATATATACAACATTCCAAAAAAAAAAAGTAACACATATGAGAATTTAAAAAAAAAAATTCACAAAAATATTTACAGTATATGGTTTTGTAAAAAATAATTTATTGCGAAATTAACAAACAAAAACTATATTTATTATTATTTATTTATCATTACTTATGTAATATAAATAATTTAGGTATTTATAATAAATAAATAAATATATTAAATTCCTAATTATTAAGAATTTATTTCTTGATTAAATAATAATTAATAAATTTTTTTGATAAAATGAAAATAATTTTTTCAAAAACAATATACCTTTTAACAATAACACCTTTTCCATAGTAACCATTATTTTCATTAGGTCTCGGTCGCTTAATTGCATAATTATCTCCGCAAAGACCACATTTTCCATTATTTACTGCATATTGAACCTTATATGAATTAAAATTTATATTTAGTTTATTTCATTATTTATGGTATATGTTTATTTTATCATTTATTATTTTATTTATTATATTTTATTATTTGCTTATTCTATTATATTATTTATTTATAATTTATAAAATAATTTTTTTATTTTTCATCCAAAAATTAAAAAATAATTTTTTACAAAAATATTATATAAATATAAATTTAAAAAAATAATTTTTCTATTTTATTAATTATCAAGTCAGTTAAAAGTAAAATAAAAAGAAACCTACACTAAATCCTCCACAATAATTAGCATTATCATCATAATTAATAGGGGTACTAAATCCTTCTCTCCAGGCACTCCCCCTATTCACCGGTTGCATTAACATTCCATGGCTTCTAATTTCCGAAAAATAAAAAAATATCAATATCAACATTACTAAAAATATTGACACTTTCATTGTTATGATAATAATTCACTTGTTATAAATAGAGAGAAAATTTTTTTTTTTTTTATTAATAATTTGTAATTAATTATATCGAGACGAGGTTTCCACCGCACAGACTAAAATAACAAATCTTTTAATTATCTTCGATATTTTCTATTTAAAGCGATTTACAATTTTGATAAGAAACTATTATCACTGATTCATATATTGTTATCAGTATTGTATTTATGATGAAACTTACAATATATTTCTTAGAGATGCGGCGGATAATTTTTCTTTGAGCAAAAAAAAAAAAATTTTTTTTTTTTAAATTAAAAAAAAAAAAAAGTAAAACAAAGTAAAAAGGCCTACTTTCCTATCAGTTAATGGCAATATAGATGAGATTTCATTTAAAAAGAAGAAAAAAAAAAAAGATAATAATCCAGGTAGAGATTAAGTTATTTCTTGTAAACATGCTATTAAATTGTATTTTCATCTGCAATGCACTGAAACATCGTGTGTTTTTATCTGTGTTCATTTTTCGATTTTTATTTATTTTTTTCCTTTTTTTTATATTTTAAAAAAGTTTTAATTTATAATATTCATTTATTGATTCAAAATATTAAAAATTGAATGTATTTTCACTTTCAGTTTGGCTACACTGAACAAAAATTTATTTGACTTAAATAATCGGTTACTTGATTATTTTCAAATAAATATTTATACTTAAACCAAATAATTTTTATTTGAGTCAATTAAATGGTACTTGTTTTAAATATACACCCCAGAGAAATGTTTTATTTGAACCAATTATAATATATTTGAGTTAAATAAACGTATATATTTGTCTCACACAGTCTACTTGTCTATTTATTTGGCGTGAATAAAATTTTTTTTAAATGAAATAAAAATTTATTTAAATGAAATAAAAATTTATTTAGGTAAATCAAATAAAAATTTATTTAAATCAAATAAAAATTTATTTAGGTAAATCAAATAAAAATTTATATTTAAATCAAATAAAAATATATTTAGGTAAATCAAATAAAAATTTATTTAAATCAAATAAAAATATATTTAAATCAAATAAATATTTATTTTGTTGAGAGCATTTCTCTGGGTGTACAAAAATTATTGATTCCAATACAGTTTATATAATCCAAATAAAAATTATTTCATTCAAGTGTAAATATTTATTTATTATATAATATAAATATACTTATTATTCGAGACAATTAAATGGTATTTTTTCCAATACAAAAATTATTTGTTCAAATACAGTTTATTCAATTTCAATTATCTTTTGGTCAGAAAATTATTTGGTTCAAGTATAAATATTTATTTTATAATAATATATGGTAAACGATTATTTGAATCAAATTAACTTTTTTTTTCAGTGTAATTTTTTTTTTTTAAATTGTAAATTCCTTATTTTTATTCAAAAATACGGGAATAAAGCAGTTTAGACTAATTTTTATTCCCATTTTTTTTTATACAATTCTTCCTTAAAAATCCAAAAATTAAAAATTCGTATTTTTTTCGCTTTATTTTTATTTTCAGAAAATTTTTCAAGTAAATATTACTCTCGAGGAAATGAAATGGAAAAAAAAAACTATAACATTTACAAAATTTTAATTATTTTACATATTAAAATTTATAATAAAAATTTAAGAAAGAATTAAACAAAGAATCGGAACAAAAGTTAGTCCAACTTTGTATTTTTAAATAAAAAGATGATTTAAAATTTTTAAAAAGCTTCGGTTAAATTTCAAATAATAATTTTAAAAATTCTGAATATAATTAGAAATTGCATTAAAATCAAAAATTAAAAATTTTCATGCATAGAATTTACAAACTTTTAATTTTGATTTAAATGCAATTTTTAATTGTTTAAAATTTTTGAAATTAAATTATTTAAAATTTCACCAAAGTTTTTTTTAAAAAAATCATCTTTTTCTTAAAATAGTAACATTTGTTTGTTCCGATTCTTTGTTTAATTCTTCCTTAATAAATAAAATTTTTACTTTTTTTTTCATTTTTTAAAAATTATTTTTATGTAATTAATTAATTAATTAATTATTAATAATTAATTAAAAAATAATTATTATATTATATTCAAAGGCATTATATACATATATATGTAATAACGTATTTCACAATATTATTTGCAATGATTCTTATATATGATATCAGAAAATGATATAAAATTATATTGTTTATTGAATTATTTTGATATCGGAGCAACTTTTAAATGTTTCTTGAGGACCACAGCCAAGTTTACCAAAACCATCAGTGCAGGTGCCCCAATTATTTCCCGCGATATATTCCCAACGTAAAACACAATGGTCACAAGAAATTCCTTTTGGAAGAATAATATCTGTTTCAAAGAATCCAGTATTCTCAGTGGGCAGTACATATTTATATGAACCGTCAACTAATGGCAGATGATATTTTTCAAAGCATTCTTCCTCCTCCATTTCCATGGAATTGTTCAAAGGACATAATTGAAATTCAAAATGTCCCTTATGATTTGCTGTAATTTCAGCTATTACATGAATTTTGTCCCCTGTATTGTATCTGAAAAATAAAAAAAAAAAAAAAATCCATCAAAAATATATAAAAACCAAAAAAAAAAAAAAAAAATTCTAACGGATTTTTTGTTGTTTTCAGTTTGGAAAAAGAATACTCTTTACTGAAGAGGAAAATTCTAAAGTACATATTTCTTTTTTTTTTTTTTTAACAGAAAAAATAAAATCTGTCTTTTTTTTCGAGAAATTTAAAAAAAATTTTCCTCCTACTATAAATGAGATTACTATTTCTCTAGGGCACCATAAATGGAGTGTAAGAATCTGTATCGTAAAATTTTGTTCCAAGTTAATTAATAGAATATTAATTAATGCAATATTTATTAATTAATTACGTAATTAATTATTTAATTAATTATTTAATTAATTAATAAAAGTGAAAACTTCAAATTTTCCTCAAGTGGAAAAATAATTATTCTAAATTTAAGAGTAACAGACTCACGTTGCAACAATATTTCCTAATCCATAAGTTCCTGTATTTTCATTTTTCCTCGGTCGTGGATCATTATAGTCATCACCGCAAACTCCACATTTTCCCGAATTTTTAGAATATTGCACCTGATGCAAAAAGAAAAAGAAAATTAAATTTCTTCTTACAAGAAAATATACAGGGTGATTTTTATAATCCGAAATTTTTTTTTTTTAATCTCATTTTTTCGTTTTTTAAACAAAAAAAAGTGTAATATTAAAAATTATTATTATAATTTTTATTTATTTATTTATTATTATTATTATTAATTATTCGATATAAAAAATCAGTTACTTGACTATTATCCAAAAAAATATTTATTTGTATCAAACAAATTTAATTTGGAATTAAATAAACTGTATATTTAAACCAATAATTTCTTTATTTGAATCAAATAAAATTTAATTGACTCAAATAAAAATTATTTGGTTCAGGGGAAAATATTTATTTGAAACACTGAAAAAAAATTTATTTGATTCAAATACTCGATTACTTGACTATTATTTATTTATATGAAACATAACATAGCATATTTATTATTAAATAAATATTTATTTTTATCAAATAATTATTATTTGAGTCAATTATTTTTGTTTCAAATACAGAAATTAATTATTGGTTTAAAATAAAAAATTATTGTTTCAAATAAAATTTATTTGGTTCAAGTAAATATTTGTTTGATAATATTATAGTCAAGTATTCGAGTATTTGAATCAAATAAATTTTTTTTCAGTGTAGGTTTAAAAAACAAAAAAGATCAATGAACTTTTCTTCTAAAAATTTTGGAAAAATCAATTTTTAAAAAAAATCCACTTAATTCAGACAATAAATGTTTGCTATAGATTAAATCTCTCTTTGAAACTATATATTACAAGTAATCGATAAGTGTAATGTAAGTGTACTGAAATATTAAAGATTAGATTACAATTTTTTTTTTTTCCTTTTATTTGTTTTTCATGTAATGTATTTCCTATAACTATAATTGTATTTTATAAATTGTTAATTATTTTTATATTTCTCTTTTTTATTTGACCCAAAAAAATATATTTTCCTAACATTTACAATATAATTTTAAAATTCTTTTACAAATTTTAAAAAATATGCTGAATTTACGAGAAAAAAAAATGAAATTCAAATATTTTCAAATAGATTCTAATTGATATTAATTATTTTTTATAATAATTGTTATAATAATTTTTATATTAATATTTATAATAATGTTTACAGTAATTTTAATAATAATTTTTGCAATAATTAGTATAATAATTTTTGTAATAATTTTTATATTAATTTACATAATAATTTTTGTAATAATATTCGTAATAATTTTTGTATTAATTTTTATAATAATTTGTGTATAATAATTTTTTAAATAATTTTTTAAATAATTTTTAAAAAAAATTTTTTAATAATTTTTATAACAATTTTTATAATATTAATAATTTCTTATAATTTTACAATAAAAACTATTTTCATATATTTTCGATAAAAATAAAAAAAAAAAAACTCACAGTAAATCCACCGCAAAAATTTTCATTATCATTGTAATTTATTGGTGTATAATATCCCTTTCTCCACATACTTGATCTATTGACAGGATCCATTAATCTTCCATGTCCAGAAATTTTTTTCAAATAAAAAACTAAAACTACTGAGAGAATGAATAATAACTTTGTCTGTTTCATTTTTATAATTAGCATATATATATATATCTGTTGAAACGCGGTCAAATATTGTTATGTATAAACGCCTGTCTAATGACTATTCAACTTGCTTCCTTGTAAAAAAAAAAAAAAAAAGAAACTGATTAATATTGTACTAGTAAAATGAGTAGGTAATTCACAAGTGACAATTTTACTCGAATTCATCGAATATTTATTTGTAATACAATCTTAGCAATATCATTTGTTTTTTATTTTTTGAAACATTCAAGTTTCCTGATAATCAGTATATTACAATGTCAGATTATCACTGATGTAATTTCATTGATTTCCTCATTGATTTTATATATTTTAAAATTTTTTTTTTCAAAGATAATTTATGGATTAAATTGATATGGTAATAATTAACATCCACCATAAATAATGCAATTTTTATATTATTTCTATATGGAAAAATCTCAGAGAAATAATAAATAAAATAATAATTATTATTATTATAATTATTATACCTGTAAGCAGATTTCCAAAAATTTCTTAATCAAAAAAAAAAAAAAAAAAAAACAATAAATAAATAATATAATAATAATAATAATAATAATTAGGTACCTATTTATTATAGGTAATTATTATTATTATTATTATTATTATTATTATTATTATTATTATTATTATTATTATTATTATTATTATATATTTAATATAATTATTATCAAATATATTTGAAAAGTTTTGATAATTTTTTTGTTCTTTAAAAATTTGTTTCAGCAAAAATTATTTTTTCAGGATCAGGGAGGGATTTTTTAAATTTCAATAGTTTGAAAAAAAAAAATTTATGTGCCTGAAAAGTTCTAAACGTTCAAATTAACGAAATAATTTTTTTTTTCTTTTGGTTTATTAATTTTTTCAAAACTTACCATATCATTAAAAAAAAAATAATAAAATACATTAAACATTTAATAAATTATTATTAATTTATTTTTGATACTGAAAGCAATATACATATATTTAATTTTTTAAAATAAAATTTGAAATTTAAAAAGATAGTAAACTTTTTTGTTTATTTATTGAATGTTGAGAATTTCAGGCAAATTAAAATTTTGCAATTTTTTTCCCTCGTATAATATTAAAAACACAATGAACCCAATTTTTTTTTTTTTTTAAATATATTTTATTATTTAAAAAACTTTTTTCATATTTAATTTATTATATATATATATATTATCGGTGGATAAAGTTCTTATCTCCATAACCTTTACTCACGTCGAAACTTATTCTGAGAGTATATACATATAGTTATATATTCTCATTTGTCAAAAGTAAAATGATTAAAAGTGCTGTGAATAAAAATAAAGAATATTTGAAAATAGTTGAGAGAATACAAATATTTTGGAGGTGGTTCATAATTTTTTTAAAGTGAAAAATACGTATGTAAGTATTTTTGCATAATAATAATAATAATAATAATAATAATTTTTCTATTATTGTTTATATGAAAAAATGGATGTTCGTTATATATAGAAATAATATTTATTAATAACAATTAAAGTAGAAATGAAAAAAATTTAAACAATATTTATTTATAAATTGTTAAATAATTTTAGTTTGTAAAGATAAAAGTTTGCCAAGGTCATTAACAATGAATTTGTAGAATAAAAATATTATTCATTATTATCGACTGTAGATGGAATTTTTAATTTTTCGCCTGTGTCGATAAAACAAATCTCTTCATTCTCAATTAATTTATATCATTATAATTATTATTTATTTATTTCGAATTTTTTTTAATTATTTAAAATTAAATACAAAAAGAGTTTAATTTCAGTTTTATATTATTTTATATCAACAATGGAAACAAATGAAAGACTTTTGAATGAGTCGGAAGGTGAAACAATACAATTAAAGTGTAATTTTCATTATGTTTGCTCTGCTCCAGGGTTAATACAAATAGTTGAATTGGTAAGTTTTCTTTGTTTCTAAAATTGAATCAGTTAAACAATATAATTATAATAATGGAACAATAAGAAAATTTTATAAATTAATTTTTTAATAATTATATTAAATTTTTTTTTTTTATACAATTTTTAAATATTAATATTTTTATAATATTTCTAATATTAATAATAATAATTAGAGTTTTTAATTAATAATTAAAATATTTTATTATTTTTTTAAACAAAAACTTTTTTTTATACCAAAACCATTAGGCCAAACAAACTTTATAATATTTTTTATTATTTTTTAATTATAATTGCCAAATTAAAGAAATAATTCTCTGGATGTTATTATAAATGTAAATAAATAAATTATTTGGTTCAAGGAAATATTTATTTGATATTTTGTTAGGTAAATAATTATTGAAGTAAATTTTTTTCCAGTGCAACAATATTTATCTTTTGAAAAATAATAAAAATTCTAAACTTTCAGATGTTACCTCCCTTAGGATTTTTATTTATTACAATACAAATATTGGACTCTTCTTTAATTGATCTTTCAAATAGATGGATATTTATTCAACTTATTTTAATTTTATTGAGACTGATACCATTTTTAGTGTTTAAAATTCAAGCACTGTATTATTTGCGCGCCTTGTTGTGCTATGTAAGTTTTTATTTTCCAAATTTTTTTTTGTTTTTTTTTTTTAATATTTTCAATTTATTTTTACTAATTTTTACTTTCAATTTTATTTCAAATTATTTTTTAGGGTATTGTTTGTTATAATGAAATTTTTCTTTTTTTAGGAATTATGTATGACTATCGCAGTTTTAGCATGCTATATAGTGGCAATTCCTTTTATATTCTCGAAAGATGAACCTCGCGCGATTAATATGATGGTACAAGTATTATATAATAATGGTGTAATAAAATCTTATCAAAATTTTTTTTTTTTTTTTAATGTCTTTTTTTTAATACCATTTCAGGTTTTTATTACATGTGGTATCATAATTAATGCAGCGCACATAGGTTGGATTATTTTTCGAATATTTTGCAGTAGAAATTCTTATAGTTGGTAATAGAATTAAAAAAAAAAAAAAACGAAAATAGTTTTATCGTTTGTACTATATATATATATATACACATTATTTGTATTGTTATTCTATTTTATATAAATATTTGTATACCTATTTGTTTTTTTTTCTATTTACCAGTATTATATTTAATTATTTAAAAAATTATTTAAAAAAATTATTTAAAAAAATTATTTAAAAAATTTGTTTAAAAAAATAATTAAAAAAAAAATTATTAAAAAAATTTTTTTTTTTTATTTTAAAAATAGTAATATAAAAATTATAATTGCAGTTAATAAATTTTTTTCTAAAAGAAATTTTTTTTTTTCTATATAACAGTAATATCCGAACATCCTCGAAATGTTTCTTGAGGGGCGCAATCATTTTTCTCACTTGTACCATTGCAATCACCCCAAGTGTTTCCTGTTATGTATTCCCATCGAAAAACACAATTTTTGCAAGTCAATTGATCGGGAAGTTTAACTTGTGCTTGAAAAATTCCTGCCGGACTTTCTCCAATTTCATATTGATTTGTGCCGTCAGCTAATTTTAGTGGCATGAAACATTCTTCTTTTTCCAATTGTTTTGACGTTTCCAATGGACAGAGAGAAAATTTAAAAGCACCTTTATGCGAAGCTGTGAGATTTGTTATTGTATTTATCACTTCGCCCGAATAATAACTGTAAACAATTTTTTTTGGATAAATTTTTTTTTTTTTTTTTTTTTTTTTGAAAATAATTAAAAAAAAATTTTTTTCTCGAAATTATAAATTAAAAAATAATAATTTACGTTTGAACAATAATTCCAAGTCCATATTCTCCAGTATTTTCACTTGGTCTCGGAATTGGTAATCGATAATCATCGCCACATATTCCACATTTACCATTATTTATCAAATGTTGAACCTTAAAATCAGGAAATATATATATTTTTTTAAATTTCAATTTGAATTAACGGAATTAATTTTTTTTTTTTTTATTTCAGTTTAAAGGAATTATTTTTTTTTTTATTTCAGTTTGAATTAACAAAAAAAATATTCTTCGTTAAAAAAGAAAATTTATTTACAAAATTTTGTAATTAAATTAAAAATAAATTTTCCGATAAATAAAAAATAATTAATTTTGAATAAGTAAATATAATTTTCAAGGGAAAAAATAGTTTTGAAAGTAAAACGAGAAAAAATTTTTTTTATTCATAGGAAAAATTTTCTTAATTTAAAAAAAATTAAAATTTGAGAATAAAAAAAATTAAGAAAGGGAAATATATATTTTTTTTTTCGGATGTACATACATCTCTACCACCGCAAAAATTTTCATTGTCCGTATATTCTTCTGGTGTGGGAAAACCTTTTCTCCATGCGCTTTTTCTATTCACGGGATCCATTAGAGCGCCATGTCCATCCAATTGTTTTAATTTAATAATTATGAAAATAATTGTAATTAAAAACTTTGTAAATTTCATTTTATTTTATTTTAATAAATGAAAAGGATACAGATTTTTTTTTTTTTTACAATGTGAAAGATAAATGACGACTAATTTTTATTTAGAGAAAATCATATTTTTTATACTATATACATTGTGAATTCGTTGTGTGTGTGTGTGTTTTTTTTTATTATAATGCTAATTAAATGTGATTTTGATTTAAATATTGCAAATATTGATTTTCAAAAAAAAATATACGTATTTTTTAGATTTATCGATGCGCGAATAATAAAATTTCATTACATTGAGTCATTATGTATTAAAAAATATATATGGTACAAATTGTTTTTTTTTTTTTTAATTTTATTAAGATTGGAAAAAATTATATATTAAAAAAGATATTTATTCAGCGTTTGAAATATTTGTCTCAAATAGATGAGTAATTTTTTTTTTTTTTTTATATAAGAAAATAAACTGATAATTTTCAAATAAAAGAATTATTTCATCATATTTAAAAAAATTTATTTCAAAAAAGGTGTTATAATGAAAATATTCATTAGAAATTGGAATTTTTTTTTTAAATTTTACAAAAAATAATTGTTTATTATCAATCAAAATTTACATTCAAATGAAATTTGATAATTTTTCTTAGAATCGATATAATTTTAAATATTTAAAAGAAAAATACTTTATTGCATCAGATTTTTTTAATGCAATTACTTTTTAAAATTTTTAAGAAAATTATTTTTTATTATATATATATATTTAATAGTAGTCTTTCGGTTTTGGACGAACTTCTGACTTTTAAATTCTTTACATTTTCCTTGATTATAAAATATATAAAAAAACATATAATAATTGTTAAAAAGGTAAAAAGAATTATTGTTTCTTGTTTAGAATGAATTGATTTATTATTTTCTAATGATTAAATTAGTGAAAAAATTAAAATAATCGATTAAATATGTCTTTAAAGTTAGTCTGTCAAATAACCTAATTTTTCGATTTTTATCAGTTAATTACAATTAAGTGGAATTATTAAATTAAATTTGAACTTACCTAATATGAAGTAAATGGATAGACAATTCAAATTTTCTTGGCACTTTCTATATTTTCATACTAAATATAAAAGAAATATTGAGTTGAAAGTTCGCAATTTCTGCATTTTTCCGAACTTTGCAACTGAATATCTCCGTTAAAGAAAAAAAAAAAAAAAATTGGCACTTACACAGCAGCTAAATCGGATCGAAATCTACGCGCACCATAAATTCCGTTTTGGTCCCGAAACTATTTTAGGAGATATAGACGATAAAAAATTGCACATTATTTTCAGGTTAAAACTGTACTTACTTCTAACTTGAAGTTGGTCTACTCTCAGCGATCGCGTTCAATGTTTAGATTTTGAAATTGATATAACGGCGAAAATTAATATATTTTTTAAAATTAGAAAATAATTCGCAGTGCAATCGATAATTAACTATAATATAATCTGCTAATATTATTAATAAAGCTGAAAAAATAAATTTAAAAATTATGACAATTTAGTCATATACTAGAAAAAAGTTTTGATAAATAATTGTTTTTAATTATTCTATATTTCTTTTTCTAAATAATAATTATAGAATATTTGTTATAAGTTTGCTTCTATAATTAAATTAAATGATTTTATGATAAAAATTTTTCTTTGAAAGGTAATAAAATATTTTATTATTTCTTAATAAATAATTATTTTTATTTTTATTTTTTTAAATATTTAACAATGTAATATTAAGTTTCTCACAAGTGCAGAAAAATCTGTCTATTTAGTATATAAAGAAAAAAGAAGTTTAGAATTTCTCATTTCAGCGTGAATTATGTATCTATATATGCGTTGCGTTATTTTGCGTTTATGTATGCGTATTGTAGTTAGGATGTGTTAGAAATAATTTTAAGCCAATCAAAAGCGTACCAGTTATGTGTGTGTATTAAGAAAGACTCCCACTACCCTCGAATAGAAAAGAAGAGAAAATCTTAGAAAAGAGCCATTGGTGGTTCCGACGTTCTTTTTTTCACGGCTCCTGATACAGAAAATGATAGAGTTTTAGTTGAAAATTTGAAAATTTTCGATTTTTAATAATTATTATTGCAAAATTAATTGTTTGTTCAAAAAATAAACCATGTTCTCGTAGTCGTAGAAAGTTGATTCAAAAAGTTTATTGGAAAGGGAATTTCATAAGGACTCGGAAACCGTTTTAAAATTTCGTGGACCTAGTTCGCCACCATCATCAGGTCACTAATTAAAATCAATAAATAAACATCACATCAATAAATAAAATTTGATAAATAAAATTTGATTTTATTTATCAAATTTATTTCACATTAATTTTATTTATTGATGTGATGTTTATTTATTGATTTTAATTAGTGACCTGATGATGGTGGCGAACTAGACCATCGAAACGTTGTCTTAAAATTTTTAAAAAGTGAAAGATTGTTTTTTCTTTTACCTTACATCATCCAAAAAATCGAAAAACTAATTTATTAATTTTCAAAGAATTAAAATAAGTAATATTAAGTTAAAATAATTTACTTGAAGTTTTTCGAGTTGGAAAGGCATTTTTAAATATTAAATTTAAAGCTACTTGGAAGTTCTAAAATAGCCTTAAACTCATATATAATTGTTTTTTGAAAAAATTAAGTTTAAACTACTCAGGGATAGTTTTTGGATCATTTTTGAATATCTAATTCAGAGCTATTTAAGAGCCCTAAATTGGCCCTAAATTTCTAAATACTTGTTTCTTTAAAAAATTAAGTTTGAACTACTCTGGAGTAGTTTTTAAAGTTGTTGCATCATTTTTGAACACCCAGTGTAGTTCCATTCAAGAGTCTTAAATTAGCCTTAAATGCGTATGTGTTTGTTTTTGAAAATATTGAGTTTTAACTAGTTGATGGTAGTTTTTGTGGTTGACTATCTATCAGTTACTTGGCTGGGGTGGTTGGGGTGCACTTTTAAAAAGTGAATTTAGTGCTATTGAAGAACCCTAATTTAGCTTTTAATTCCTATATGATTATTGTTTGATTAAATCGAGTTTAAATAATTGGGGATGTTTTTTTGTATTAAGGGGTGGTTTTTAAAAATTTTTTAATAGTCCCAGTTGAGAGCCCTAAATAAGCCCTAAATTCCTATGGAAGAAATTTTGAAAAATATTTAGGTTCTATATAGTGTGGTACTTCCAGCTTGACGTCAAGCTAGCAGTACCAAGGGTTATTTTAAATAGGTAAAGGGCCCTAAATTTTTGCATGTGGTACTAAATTAGCCCTGATTGAGCCCTAAATGTTGGCATATATAAAAACTTTTTTTGTGAAAGTCATACTTCCAGGATTACCAACCTTACTAAGTTTTTGTTGAAATTTAACTATTGAAATAATAAGAGTTATTAAATTATCAAATTAACTACTATTAACTAATATTAACTATTAACTATTAACTAATAATTAACTACTAAATTAATTAAAAATTATTTTTTTTTTATTTTCCACTAAACACATAATTACTCTAAAACGCGTTTTTAAAAAACTTCGGATTTTCACTAAAAATAGTTTTGAGATAATGCGTACCTATTGCAATAAACATTTTTATGCACAGACTTATTTTACATAAAAAAAAAATCAGAAACTGGTCCACTCATGACTACATTCCCCTACATATATAAAAGTATGTTATGAATGTTATGTAATAAAATAATTTTGTTTGACGTAGCATAAAAGCAATTCAGAAAAATTGCACATTCATATTTTATACATATTGCTTCATTTGTCAACATTGCAATAATATTATATCCAACGTAAATTATTTGTTGAAATATAAAATTAATACATTTCATTTAAAATTTGAAAAAAAAACATTTCTTTATTGTATATAAATTTTTAAATCTATTAAAAACAATACAATACACAGTTTAACTATCTAAGTAGGATCGTCATGGTAACGTATAAGAGTGAGAGAAATAAAGAATGTTCTTATTTCTTTCACTCTTGTACGTTACCATTGCGAACCTACTTAGAAAGTTGAACTGTGGCTGTACCTTTACTTTGTTTAAGGGTTCCCTTAAGATAATCTTAACTACCCAACTATGTCAACTGACCTACTTCATACTTCATATCGTCTCTTGTTTTCTCATTCTTCTTGGTGGCAAATATTTTTTATTTAATGATTTAAAAAGTGTTGTAAATAATTAAAAATGAATTTAAAAATTTTATGTCGATAGAAATGTGGCATTTACAAAGCTACTTTATTAAAAATTATTAAATTTTATGCGAAATATGACAACATAATCTAAAAACTTTCGATCCGATTCAAAATTGTCTAAACAGTTATATATTAAATTTTTCATTAATAGGAAATTACTCATTAAAACGAATTCCTATTCAAAATATTACATTCCGATTGAAATATATATGCGTATATATTGTTAAGAATTTTCTATTAAAATTTTTTATAAGGAAACATATTAACTAGTAGGCTAATTAAGGAAAAGGATAAAATAAAATTTACAAATAGTTTTTCTATATTCGATCTTTCATCTCATATCATCGCTGATGAAAAAAAAGCACAGAAGCTTTTCTTTCTCTTTCATTCTCTGCTTCTTATATTATACAATTAAAGACTGAATTTTTCATAATTATTAAATTTTACTGTTATAAAAAATTAATTTCTGACTGCATGACCTTCTACGCAATCTAAACTTTAAATATTGAACTGATCGAACAATTATAATGTCAACTACATATTTGACTTCCACATTTTTAAAAATGATTTTTAGACTTCTTGATCTGCTAAACAATTAAATCTTTGGTCCATACTTTTTAAATTTCCATTTCGGTAAGAACGTGCTTCTATGCACCAAAAAAATTTAGTATATTATATACTTGGCACCTATTTTAGAATATTTTATTCTTAATTTCAGTATGCGATATTCTTAAAATTTGAATATATTCTTAGTATTCAGTATATATTCTTAGAATTTAGAATATATACTAAGTACGAAGAATATATTCTAATTTTAAGAGTATTACATACTGAATTTAAGTATAAAGTATTCTAAAATAGATTTCAAGCATATATCTAAATTTCAGGAAATTTAAAAACTTTGAAATTGAATGAAAAAACTTATAATACAATTAAACGATGAAAATAAATAATGGTAAATAATTTCATTAGTTGGTTACATTATTTAAATTTCATATTTTGAATTTCAATGTTAACCCAATTTAAACAGATTTTTCAAATTAAAAATTTTACAGAAACAAAAAAGAGAGCAAGAAGTTATTTATACTAAAAAATTCAATTGTAATTATTTAAATTACACAATTTTAATTTTAATGTAAATCTAATATAATTAATTTGAAATTTTAAGATTGAAATTTTTTAGGAATAAACATAGAGCAAGAAATTCTTTGTATAGAAAAGTAAAAAATTTTGTAATTGAATGAAATTCAAAATTAAAAAAAAAATTTCTGATAAATGTAAAATACAATTAAACGATGAAATTTTAAGTAATTTCAATGGTTAAGGGGACATTCCAGTTCAAAACAGGGAAAAAGAAGTCTTTTTTAGGATGTACTTCTAAAAAAAAACCATGACATTTATTCAGAAATTTTTGTTTACTTGTTATAAATAACTTATTGAATATGAAAAAAAAAATTTTCCACTTGTAGTCCAAGATGGCGGCGATGTTCAACATTTTCAAAAAATATTCATTTTTTCATGGGGGATCCATTCCAAATGTTTTTACATTTGAACTGCAGAAATTTATTTATATTTTAATATCAACATAAACTATATATTAACCTGCATCCGTAAATTAAATTTTCATCTATTCTGCAATTAAAAAGTTAATTAGGAACGGAATAAGTTTTCATATGTTATGTCTGTCTCAACCCTTTCGAAATCTTTGGTTTTTGACATATGTCCTTGATTTTTGAGGTGGCGAAGAAGGGAAGGGGAGAAGGGACTTGCAGCTATATACAGAGTCTTGAAATGATCTTAACCTCTAAATTAAGGTCATTTTTAGAGGGTGGTGGGAGGGGGAAACTTGCGGCTATATTCAGAGTCTTGAAACGATCTTAACCTCTAAATTAAGGTTATTTTTAGAGGGTGGTGGGAGGGGGGAACTTGCGGCTATATTCAGAGTCTTGAAACGATCTTAACCTCTAAATTTAGGTCATTTTTGGTGGGGAGGGGGTAAAGATGAGAAAGGGGTGGGGGGGGGACTTGCGACTATATTCAGAGTCTTGAAACGATCTTAACCTCTAAATTTAGGTCATTTTTGTGGATGGAAAGAGGGGAAAGGGGGGGGGGGCTTGCGGCTATATTTAGAGTCTTGAAACAGCGGCGGCAGCATGAGTCAAAAGTTTTGAACGTTCATATGAATGAAATTTTTTTTGCAATTTCTTTAAGTACGAATTTTATTACAAAATATTGTTCAAAATATCTAAAAAGAAGTTATTAATTTAATTATTGTTTTATTTACTGTTTTATTTTACATAGTCATCATAATTTTTAATAATTTATAGATGGGAAAAAATATTTCGTTCATATGAACGTTCAAAACTTTCGGCTAATGCGGCGGCGATATCTTTTTGTAATATAGGTATATATATACACTAGAACGTCAATCGAGAACACGTCAGTCGAGAACAGAGCAAGGGAACACTTGAAGGGAAGTGGGGAAGCGGGTAGAATTTAGGTTATGACTGACGCCAAAGTCGTACTTGTGATTTTTAAATTTAAGATGGATTCAGTGCCCCACTAGTGAAAATCCCCTAGATAGAATTCACATTGTTGCGTAAGGCCCTTCATACGGCCCTGAGTGTTTTTATTTTCGAGCGATAAAAATCGCGTCAATCGAGAACAGCACTGCACATTCGTCTGTTCTCGATTGACGTTTTAGTGTATATATAAAAATTAAGTACAAAAATTTAATTTAGTAAAATTAGGTTTCAATGAGAACTAAGTAATAACGTAATAAAATACTAAGTAAATACTAATTGAATTTCTTAATTTAATAATATTGCACATTTACTATACTACTCTAACAAAAAAAAATTTCGTGCTGTAGATTGATTTTCCAAAAATTTAATATTTTTTTTCATAGAATACACAGTTATTTTAATTGTAATTTATTTATTATGTCACAAGAAAACCATAAGAACAGCAATTAAAAATAGAATAAACGAAAAAACTATAAATCCTATAAACAAGAGAGAAATATAAAAATATATAAAATACTTATAACCTATACAAAACTAATAATAATAAAGAAAATAAAACATATAATAATGTAATCAAATAATAATTAGTAAAATCATAATACATATAGAATATGGCCTTATCTGTATCTAATCTAATTCGAGAGGGAATTTACTTGTTAAAGAAGTGTATACTTGACCACTCATTAGGCTATAATGTTACATCTATTATCAATATTATTATACACTTATACTACAAAATATTAATGATTATTACATCGATATGAGTAAATTTCCCCTCAATCTGATTTTAATTTATATTAAACTTTATTTTTTTTTAACCTAACCGTCATTTGGGCTAATATTTCTGTAAACTAAATCTTATTTTGTTTAAACGTCACTTGACCTGTATCTCTTTCGAGTTTTAATTATAATTGATACTCGCACATAAACGCAAATCTTGATAGAGATAAAGTTACAAATATATTTGTGTCCTTTTCTCTCTCTCATAATTTGTGTTTATTAACGAGTGTCATATGAAATTTAGGCTAAAAAAGATTTAGATAAAGTGATAGGTTAAAAAAGAATAAGATTACCTGAAATCAGACCGCTGTTTTCATTTCACGACAAACATGTCTTTTACATCTGCCTTTGCTACAGTTAATTTTTTATTTAATTCTGATTTTTCATTTTCTACTGTTTCTAGCTCTTTTATTGCTTTATCTAACTCATCCTTACTAGTTCCAAATTTTTTATGTGCATCCATCAATTTTTTAAGCAGTTCAGCATTCAAGGCCCTATTATTATTTGCATTAACTAAATCCCCTATTTCATTTATTACCGCGGCTAATTCTGTGTAGTCTTTATTGTAATTTTTATTCGCATCTTCTACATTTTTCTGTTTGTCATATAATTCGATTTCTTTTCTTCTTAAATCTTTTTCTAAGTTTTCTACTATCTGTTTTGCAGAATTTATTCCCTTAATTGTTGGTGCTGATCCCGGGTCTAATCCCGGTCCTGATCCCGATGCTGATCCCGGTGCTGATCCCGGTGCTGGTCCTGGTGCTGGTCCTGGTCCTGGTGCTGGTCCTGGTGATGGTCCTGCTGCTTCCATATCACAGCAAAGTTCCATACATTTTGGAGAACTATCCTCACAACTGTCAGAACTGCTACTGTCAGAACTGCTACTGTCAGAACTGCTACTGTCACTAGAATTACATATTTATAATGAGACATTATATTAAATAAAAAATGTTCCAAATTTTTTAGGCAGAGCCCTCCCCGCATAATTATTCAAAACAACAACCATTTATGTTATCATTTGAATTAACGAGTACTAACGGAACGCTTTAAGGGGTTAGTCGCAGTCAGATAATGGAAAAACGCGTGTTTTTTGGAAATTTTTTTCTAAACATTTGTCCATTAAAAATTCTACACTTTTATTAAAATTTAATTTAAAATATATTAATTATTAAGAGAAACACAGCGATTTTGTAGTAAGGTGATCTTTGAAAAGGTTTTTGTGGTGACCACTCCTATTTTTCAGCGCGTTATTTAAAATAAAAAAATTCAGATTATTTTTTTAGTTTAACGCTGCTTGATTGTAAGATTTTGTAAAAAGTTTTAGAAATAGACCTAAAGAAAATAATTTATACAAAAATTTTACATTCATTTTTTTATTTTTCAAAACAACACATTTTTTGTTTGTTAAGATCATTCACTTTACTTATAAAAAAAAATCATTTTCATTTAAAAACAAAAAAAAATGTTTTTAACAAATTTGTTGTATTTAAAAGACTAAATAGAAATATATAAAAATTCTATAAAATATAGATTATTCTTTTTTAGTTCTAACTAAAAAAATCTTTGCCTTATAATTTTCACAAAAAAAAATTATTTAAATTATAAAGTTTAATTACCTATCAGGTGAGCGTCTGAATATCAATTTTGAATGTTGCTCCTAAAATAAAAAACAATGTACAATTAATATTAAGATTGAAATTTAATTTTTTTTGTATGAATTAATGATTAATGATTAATTAATTAATGATAATTGACAAATTCAGACAATTGTTAGCGTTGCACAGTGGTACGAATTGCGAATCTAGCTGGACAAAATTCAAAATTTTTGTATCTTCAAAAAATATAAATACTATAGGAATAGTATGTTTAGTTATTCTACATTAACGTATGAATGTTAGTTTCTGGGAAAAAAATGTTTTTCATTTAAAAACAATTTAAACATTGCCATTCGCGGCATCTTTGTTTTCGTGAAAAATTACCGTCAACACATATCTTATAAATTATATAATTATGCAATTCGCTAGTTAGCGAATATATATAGGACTAAATTATATAATTTAAATTGATTTTATTTACTTCGAAGGACCAGAACTTCTGGGGCCTGTGCTGGCCACTATTTTTGATGTATAAAGTACTTATTATTGTATTAGATTATGCTTTATATGCAACCACCTTTAGCCACTTTTTTTAAATTTTCATTTTGAACTTCCGGGTGACGGATATGCCTTGAGTATTAAATATCGTTCTACAATATCTACTGACTCAAATGTTCTGATACTTGGTACTCATGGGTATTTTTAGTCGCTGATTATGAATCTGCAGTCAATTTTTAAAATTTCAAAATGGCGGATCCAAAATAGCGGACAACTTTTTTAAAAAATCGTTCGATTTCAATAAAACTTGGTATCTATGAGTTTTTGGGGTCGCTGACTACGAATTTGAAGTGGATTTTTAAAAATTCAAAATGGCGACACTAATATGGATGATGATGTTATAAAAAAATGTTAAATTTATATGAAACTCGATATCTACGGCTTTTGGGGTCGATGATTAGGAATTTAATGTTATTTTATAAAAGGCATTAATTTTAGTTTTTCAAAAATGACTTCAAATTCTTAATCAGAAATCCTAAAAACCTCTAAAATATCAGGACTAATAAAAATCAATCAATTTAAATGAAAATTGTTTGCCAAATTAGATCCGCCATTTTTAAAAACCGACATTAAATTTGTAATCAGCGCCCCCAAAAACCTCTACATAATGAGTTTTATGGAGATCAAACGAATTTTTAAAAAAAAGTCCGCCATATTGGACCCACCATTTTGAATTTTTTTAAACTGATGTCAAATTCGTAATCAGCGACCCTGAAAACCCCTAGATACCAAGTGTCATAAAAATCCATTCAAAACATTTTGAGCTAGGATTTTTGTCCAGCTAGATTCGCTATTCGAACCACTGTGCGTTGGTTTACTGCAATTCAACAAATCTTACACAAAATAACTTTATATTGCAGCCTTGCAATGTCATTGTGTTCAATAATAATTTATATTTGATTTTAATTAAAAACATAATTATGTAAATATAGTTTAAAATCTACCAAATAATATATATATTTTTCCATTAAATATATTATTTACATTAAATCAACTAGAAAATATGATTTAAACAAATTTAAATATTTTCAACTGTATATCAATACTAAAATAAGGTTGAATTATATATGTATAATATATTTGTTTAAAAAATATCGTATAAAAAAAAAGTATTTTAACTGAACAATTATTTTATTGGTGCAAATTTAATTAATTTATAATTTCAAAATATAAAAAATATATCAGATATCATACATTTACCTACATTAAAAATACAATCGTCAAAAAAAAACTCAAAATTACTGTTGCTTTATGGTGTTTTTACTGTTAGTTTCGTGGGCTTTTAAGCAACTTTTAAAAATTTTCCAATTTAAAAAAAATCATATACAGGTATATTTTTTCACTTTGGGATAACTTTGGAGAAATCAAAGAAATACATTTTTGACTAGTATTATTTTTGACCATACTAGAATATATTTATACTACGATAAAAAGTTTATTCGAAAATGAAATGAAAATTAATAATAAAAACTTACATTTTTCAATAAAGATTTGATGGTCCCTGCTTCAGAAGATATCAAAGAAATAAGCAGAATGCCAAACAAAATGGAAAATATTTGAAAATTGTTCATTTTGTTTGTTATACAATGTCTTGTACTAAGATGATATTTGTCGTGTTTGCTTTCGGTTTATATACGAAAATCCTTCTTTGTTCTTCAAAAATTTGATAATAACTTTTTAAATAATTTATTTTATTCTCCAAATTCGAAACATCGTGACATTAAAAAAGTTGATTAGGCATACATTATTTAAATTATGATTATGAATTTATATGATAAGCATGTACACGAATATAATTACTTTTTAATTTTGTACATTTTTATATACAAATTGACTCATAATTTCCATGAATCTGTGAATGAGGAATTTCTTATCAATATATATTACAAAAGGGCCAATAAAATATTAGAGCCCAACGATTCAAAATGAAATGATAGATTGTTTAGACAATCAAATGTTAATTTGATTAACATTAATTCTAAAAATAGAATCAATTGAGTTTAGTACTTAGGTACTGTAAAATCCTGTGAAAAGAAACTGGACAAGCATTTGATTTTGAAAGTAACGAAATTTTCTTGATTGGGACAGACTATTATTCCATAGGCATCAGCAATTAGCGAATACCTTTTTCATTGTTCTCTTTGTTATAATATCAAGAATGACCTTCATTATTGGAATGTTTGATAACACATTTTTTAAATAAAGTAAACCAAACAAAAAAGAATCACGCACGACGAATGACAATGTGTTCAAAAATTTCGTATAATGAAAACATTGATTAATATTATCATCAACAAGTGTGATTTATATTACCGAAAAGAAAAATTTTCATGCATAAAATTTAATTAAAAAATGTCTTTAAAAAATATTTTTAAGTATTCAATAGATGGAAAAATAAAAATTATTATTCTCATTGATATGTAGTAATTTTCATAAGATAAAAGTAGTAAGTAGGCAACTTTGGCCCAAATTCAATCAGTAATTTATTTAATTGCCTAGTTATTAAGCTAATTGCCTGAAGAGTCTTCGGCAAATAGAAAATTGACGAATATTCTATAGCAGACTCTATAACTATAGTTAATTGATTATGAACATTAGAAATAGTTTATTGATGAAAATGCAACACTGGAGGAAAATTGTATTGTATCAAGAAAACCCATTTACTTATCTGTATTTGATTCATCATTTTCTTGATCGAAGAATATTTTACTAGTTTGAAGTAAATGAAAATTAGTGAATCAAATACTAGCTCTTTTTAAAAAATTTGAAAATGTTTTTATAAAATTTCATATTTATTTTCTTTCCGTGTAGAAGATATAAAAATAATAAGCAATATTGAAAATATCTAAAACTTATTCCAAATTCAGAAAATTGTGACATTTCAATTTTCATTTATATAATGATAAACATGTATAAATAATTACTTACTATTTAATTTTTTACATTTTCCATGGATTACTCTTCAAACGGAAAAGAAATTTGATAAAATAACATCAATATACATTTGACTTCTAATTTCCATGAATATGTATGTGAGAATTTCATGTCAATATTAATTATAATAATCATATAAAATAATTCATATTACTCACGTCACCGTTAAGTATTTATAAATAAATAAACACAAATAATAAAATAATTTGAATTACACGCTTTAAATTAAATAAACAGAATAAATACAAAAATAGTAAGTTAATCAAGATTTAAAATTTTTATAATTAATATAATTAATTATAATTAAAAATTTAACAATCAAGTTAATTAACGTCAATAATTTAATAATAATAATGTTATTTTGAAAGTATTAAAAAAATTTTTGCAATGTTCAAGAATATACAGTATAATCTGTGGTATCGACAAAAACCTTTTTACACAAAACACATTATTTTGCTGTAGAGTGCAATCCCTACGAGATACGTATGAAAAAGTAAAAAAAAAATGTTAACTATCCTTGCCCTAGTACCGGGGCAAGGATAGTTAAAAGAATCCGAATGCTAAAATTGTCATAGAATTTCAAATTTAAATTTGGTGTACATTTTAAGTATACCGAAATTTCGCCTAAGTTCATTAAAAACAACAAAACTATTCAAATTTTGAGTTTTTAAAAATTTCAAAAATTCGCATTTTTTAAAAAGCAAATTTTTTCAATTTTTTTTCGAAAAAAAAGAGTAAAAATAAACACTTTTTTCCTTTGACAATTTTTAATAGTGATTAAATCAAAAAAGTTATACCTCTTTTTTTAATAAAAAGACAAAAACGGATGAAAAATGGGTAAAATGCAGGGCAAAATTACTTTATTTTGAAAAAACATGTGCAACTATATGTATTATTTGTGTTTAAACCACCTTAAATTAACACAAATAACATTAACTTACTAATAAATTTACGAATTTTTTTTTTTAAGTCCAACCATTATTTTCCATTTCTAACATTGCAATTGTTTTCGAAAAATCCATTAATCTAAAATAGTTCATGTTTTGCTTGTTGTATCAGAATTACGTAAGTTTTCGATTAGTATCTACCGAATTGGGATAACTTTATTTATTTGTTAAATATTTTTTTATTTACATTAATCAATTGATGGTCTACATCAAATTACTAAACCAACCCTCAGACGGTAGTTCTATAATAATAATCAAAACCGTTGAAAAGTGAAAAAATTAAAAGTTGAAAATTAACTTGTTTACATTCTCATTTTAGTCTCTTAAAATTGTACACTCTTCCACTCTAAAGTAATCAACATTTAAAATTTTTTAATGAACCCTTTTCTTTTGCTATTGCATTTTTCTAATTTTCGAGCGTGAAACGCGAGTGGCATGATGAGAATGTTATCCTTACTCTCTAAATCTGAATTAGTAAAAAAGTTTACTAATTTGAATTAGTGACTCACTTTTTGCTTCTCAATTAGTAAAATTTTACTAATTGTTAGTAAAAGTTACTAATAATTAGTAAAATTTTACTAATTGAGAAGCAAAAAGTGAGTCACTAATTCAAATTAGTAAACTTTTTTACTAATTCAGATTTAGAGAGTAAAGTCGAAGTACTTTAAGAAAATGAAAATTAATTTTGCAAAACCAAAAATTTCACTTATATCAATTGTACAAAAAATCTTAGGAGTAAAAACATGAGGGCGAATACTCATATAAAATTTAATTTTTTTGTTGCTTTGAAAATTCATTTTACTATAAATTTTTTTTTTAAAATGTATTAAAATTTTCGATGAATTTTTTCGTTTGCTCAAGGGATATTAATTCGAAGCGGAATAACATATTAAAAAAAAAGTTAGTTGGTTGATTTTTGTTAATTACAAAGACCTGTAAAAACAAAATAAAGCTTCTACGTTTTTTGAACGTGAGAGACAAACGAAGCGCGCATCAATATCGGAATTAAAATTTTGTGCAATAACATTTATTAATAAGATGAACAAATGCTTATGTTGCATTAATAATAACTTTGTTACAAAAGACGATTACAAAATATATATGTTCTGTATAACGTATCGAAATGATTTATATTTGCGTTTATTTTATTTCACAAGATTTTCTTACCTCATTGCACCTGTTCCACTCTTTAAAAATTAATTGCATGATTTAACGATATTATAAATATTTTGAGTATATAGGTGAAGGTCAATCAAAAATATTAAATTTATTAAATTTTAATAATTAGTAATTATGCATTTGGTTTAGAATTTAATTATACAAAACTATAAAATATTATTCTGTGTATTTTTGAACAGTGGTAAAAAAAATTTTAACACTTTCGAAACAACATTATTATTAAATTAATGTCGTTAATTAACTTTATTGTCAAATTTTTAATTATAATTACAAAAATTTTTAATGTTGATTAAATTTTATTTTTTTTTGAATTTATTCTATAGATTTACTCTGTACATTTCAGTAAAATAAGAACTTTATATAGGTTAATCAATTAATTTAAATGCGAGAAATAAGTATTTTTACCAAACAAAATAAAATTTACATTAAAAAAAATTTTTTGTCAAAAAATACATTTTTCAAAATTTTAACAATTGTAAATGAAATCTTGTGGATATATTCGGAAATCCATGTGTCAGAATTTAGGTATTAACGACTGCAATAAACATACAAAATTTCAGGACAAACAGTCAAAACGTTTCTGAGATATTTGAACACAATATTTTGTGACATAGTCACACACACACACAGACATACACACATCTGGACATTTACTCAAAACTTCATTATATAAATATATATTTTTTTCTAGAAAGGAAAATGTATATAAGTCAAGTCAAATATTGAAAACTTTTAGAAATTTATAACAATAAATTCTGTTATTTCTTACAATAAGGTGTATACTAATGGAATCTAGAATTGCATTTTAATTTTAATTTAAAACTTAACAGGAACAACGATTATTTTGACAATGGTTATAGAAACTGCCTTGCAGCTATAACATACATACCAAAAATCGTCAATGGCATTTTTTCGTTTTAAAACACCATGACTGTCTTCATACCAATTTTATCGTCAAATTTTTAATTATAATTAATTATTTTAATTATACATAAAAATTTTAAATCTTGATTAAGTTACTATTTTTGTATTTATTCTTTTTATTTAGTTTAAAACATATGGGCAAATCCACGAAACTTTTAACTTTTGTGATTCTCGAATCAAACACTTAAAAATCAGAATTATTTTTAATTAAAAATTTGGGTATAATTTTTTTTGCTAAATTATATACAATGGAACACTTATGTACAGTATTAGAACAAAATATTTATTTGACAATTAGTTTTTTAAGTTAAAAAGTGAAAAAATGCTTAAATTTCATTTGAATTTCTTGAAAAAGTTTATATTCTTAACGTTTTTATTTTTGCGGCGTGTAAAATATCACTTCAGCTACTATGGAAATATCTAACAGACATATTTTGTCAACAAATTTTCACTATCCCATTAGTGTGCCACCACTAAAACTAAAAATACGAAGGTTTGATTGATTATTTGTGTTTATTTATTTATAAATACTTAACGGTGACATGAAATTCTCACATACATATTCATGGAAATTAGAAGTCAAATGTATATTGATGTTATTTTATCAAATTTCTTTTCCGTTTGAAGAGTAATCCATGGAAAATG